TATTGCCCTGCACTCAGTAACTCATTCATTCAATAGACTTACTGAGGACCATGAAGATAACACCTGCCCTCAAGGAGCTCCCATGGCACAGGAGGCCCAGGCCTGGGGACAAGCACAGGTATTCGGAGAGTACACTGGGGGATGGGGAGATATAGGTCCCTGCTGTTTCAGGACAAGGAGGCAGAAAGGAAGACTGGGAAAGGATGAAAGCTTCTAGAAAGGTTGAATGAAGTCACTAAAAGTCCCAGTTGCCCAGAAAACAGGCAGAGAGCAACATGATTGAGGTGTCAAAAGAGAAGAGCACTAACAGTGAAAAAACACGATTAGCATATTTTTACTACTGTCTAGGAAACACATGCCTGCCTGGCCCTTGTCCCACACCCCACTGTAGTTCTGATTCAGGTCTGGCTGGGGAGAGAGCACACATGCCCTTATGAGGCTCTACAGGTGATTTTAATATCCGGCCCCCAATAAATTCTGTTGGTGCTTGCAATATTTTTCACATCACGGAACAACACAGTACATGATATTTATACAACACATTGAATTGAAGTAGAGGTGATTTGGCAACACCTATGTGGGGATTGGTTTAAAAAAAACAGCTTTCCTTCTTTACATTTCTGCAATAAGAAAAATAAAATGCTAGAAAGGATATTAATCTTTTGCAATCACTAAATTCAAGAAATTTAGAAAGGGAGCCACAATTTGTCCTGTTAGAACTTTTTGAATGGTTGTAGGCAATATTAAATGTTTTAGCACAGTTAGAAATTCACAGCCTGAAATTTGTGGGTAAAACCCGTTCATGGCACACAATTTCAGAAAACTCTCAAGTTATGTTGTCACAGCTTTTAATTGGGGGTGGAACAGAAATTCACAGGCTTCAGATATGTCGCCACAGCTCGTATCCTATTCCAGTGAAATCCCCAAACGTTAAACAGAAAGTCGATCTAGGCACAGCTCAGAGGCATGTGACTTCGAGAAAATTTAAGTTCACAAACAAGATGAACAAGCAGCTCCCACATAGGAAGCCTGACACCCAGAGGAGAAGGTTTCGGAAAGGATCTTTTAAAGGCTCAGCTTTCTGAGCTCTAGAGGTGGAGCCAGAGAACCTGCCCGATGTTCTGTAGGTATACATGGTGGAATGCCAGAACATTCCTGTAAGGTGTTGGTCAGAGGCCAACACCACGCACACCAGGCCAGTTTCCTCAGTAAAAGGCTGTATTTAGAGTAACATCAAGTGAACTCCAACAAGACTCTCCATTCAACTGTTAGGTTATAGTATCTACAGACCCAAGATCAAACCAGGCATTTTCTATGCAGCACGCCTTCAACTACAAGGCATAGGCCAAACTAATAATACATTTTTATTTGTATTCTTATTTATTTTTTAAGACATATTTTTATTGATTTCAGAGTGGAAGGGAGAGGGAGAGAGAGAGACATAAATGATGAGAGAGAATAATTGACTGGCTGCCTCCTGCATGCCCCACACTGGGGGATGGAGTCCGCAATCTGGGCATGTGACCTGACCAAGAGTCGAACCATGACCTCCTGGTTTATAGGTCAAACACTCAACCACTGAGCCAAGCTGGCTGAGCAATAATACATTTTTTAAAGTCCTGATTTTTGCATGTGGCCACATAAAGTAAGTTCAGCAGTTATTATTATCACCTGCAGAAAGATAACACAAGTTCCAATGTTGGGTGCCTGACAGATGCTTTAAATATCCATAGTTCTCTATATCTAGGCTTTCCAACTTTTGATCACAGCCTGAACTAAGAAACAATTTTTAACATTTCAACTAGTATACCTACCTACACATGGAAAACTGAAAAAAAAAAATTTCACAAACACTCTTCTAATTTTTTTCACTTGGCCTGGTGCCGCCCGCTTACCTTCTCCAGCATCCTGCCGAGGTCCTGCTCTCATCAGGGCCCATCAGGCCCAGCAGTGCCTCCACTGCCCAATGCCTGCCATGTTCCGCGCTGCCCCCTGGTGGTCAGCGCATGTCATAGTGAGCAGTCAAACTCCCGGTCGAACAATTTGCATATTAGGCTTTTATTATATAGGATAATCCATCCCCCAACCCCCACTATAGTATGCAATACTAGAGTGTCAGTTTATGTGTGTTTTGGGGCAGGGGTGTGGGAAGGACCTATAACTGTCATGATCTTCTCAGAAGGATATTTCACCCAAAACATTAATAACTACTAACATAGATGATAAGGAGATTCTCACCTTCTGATCTTGTTTGGTTCTTTTTCACTGTTACGCCTGCCATCTAGTGGCAAAAGAAGGAACCTGCATA